CATCTGATCCTATCAAAGGCAACGCATATAGGTCGACTTTGACGGTCACCCCCTTTATTTTAATGGGCATGCCCCGAAAGAACTCCAAGCACCATAGTCGTTCTCCATTTGCGACCCGAACTTCATGGCTCCACATTGGTTAGGGGTAAGTTCAGTTTGCTGGACAGAGAGGAACTAATGAAGATGTAGGACGAGTCGTTATCGATTAACGCTACTGCTCGTCGATCCCTTACCCAGATCGGTAACTTCATGGTTTTCGGTCCTTGGGTCCCAGCCATAGCGTGAACAGGAATCTCTAGGTCGCCCTTGTGATGATTGGTATCGTACTTTGATTCTTCGTCCTCTTGTTTTTCCTTAGCCAATTCCACATACTCGACTAGAAAAGATTGCTTCTCCTTGCATCTATGGCCGTTAACAAATTTCTCATTGCAATTAATGCATAGCTTTCTCCCGTCGCCTTTGCATCTCTTCCCACGATAGTCGTTTAGCACTGGTCGGTAACGGCCTCACACTTACCGCGGACGACCCCTCCATGGTCTTGCAGAAATCATTGGAAAATTAGCCTGGGTGTCGCGCGTCGGGGTGGCTAACATTGTTCACGGTTGTCAGGTTGTCATCACGCATACGGGCATCCTCTATCGTCATGCACAGTGTCTTTGGTCTTTCGAACCGTACCTCGGCTGCCAATCGAGCTTCAAGCCCCCAACAACTGCGCCAATCGGCGCACCCTCCGGTTAGTCGCGAACACGACTTGTTGTCCGTTCGAACTCTTTCTGGTATTCGTGCAAACTCCTAATTTGTTTGATGTGCGATAGGGCCTCGTCACAATCATAGTTGTCTGACGTGCCAAATCTTGTTATCAATTCCCTTTCAGAAGTCCTCCAACGTATCGTGGTATTTTTCTTCTTGTAGACTCTCGCCAACCACCGCCACCAAAAGTTCGTTTCTCCGTGAAATTCTACACTTTCGGCCATCGGTACTTCATTGATAACGAAGTATTGATTCGCATGACTCAGTCGTAAATCGGGGTCTATCCGTTAAAGGTCGGTAGGGTCACCTCGGGCCTCTCGCTCCTGCACTTCTCCCGATGGATTGAACCCCTCAACCTATTGTCATTGTTGCCCGTAAATTCATTGCAAAAATCGTCCTCCCTTTACAAACTTGAGGACCCATCCGATGACAACCCGGAACTACTCCTCCGAGATTGTCAACCAGTTGCTTCGATCATCATCCGCTTGAACCTTGCAACTACTTGGTTCGTTGATTGTACGTCCTCAACGATTTAAACCAGCATAATACTACCTTAATCTGAACGTTGATAATTACTTTTACATTACAAGGCAATCGTCTCATGTCCTTAAATTGTCCAATATATTGTTAAATTGTCCTTAGTGTAATTATTTCGAACCTATAGAGCCAGTCACCACGAACATATTTTCATATGACAAAAGCATAGTGAAAATCAAGTTATTATCTAAATAAACTAAGAGCTACCAAATTTTTACATCATCATTCATCTCATGAATTTAAAAAACATTCGAAAGCTGGATTTATGATATTAAAAGAAAGGATGTACAAAGAAAAGCCATGCAAGCTAAAGAAACCCTAAACTCTCTTAACTTGAAATGTCCACATCCCATTTTCAACAGTAAAACATAACTCTCTTTACATTCTCTTTAAGGGCAGGCAAAGGCCGCACACCACATGACTCGCCGGCTGCTCGTGCATTGACCTTGCCACTTTGACTACTGCCATTTTCAGGCGTGTCAGGTTCCATATAGAATCTTGCCCGGAAAGCAGCCAAATGTGCGTAATAAGCCGGGGGAACTGTGCCACAAAGAAAGAACAAATGCAGTAATTTCATCATTTAATTAGAAAGAATTGGATTAATATGAGTACAAAAATATAATTTGTCGTTGCATTCATATTATTCAGTCACGATTGTCCAATCTCTAGGCAGCTTCTTTTTCCCCGATGAATCAAACCGTGTTTACAATTAATAATGTTTATCGTCTCTGATCAAAGGCTCCTTGGTAGGGATGCCTCAGTAGAGAAATCATACCATGACTGAAATAAATATGGACTTACCGACTGAGACAGAACGCGTGCACCTTGCATACGTATAACAGAGATTGTTTGTTAGAGATTGAATTCCATCAGCAGTAAAATTGTTCTCGTCCCATAGGACATGGTAATGAGCAGGTCGGCTCGTTCCCTACAAGCCAAAAACAAGTTTACTCACTTGTAATTAGTTGCTGGTAGGCTAATACTATTCTGATATAAGCACTATAAGTTTAATTTCCTCAATATAATGTTGTAATTAA